GTGATTTGGAAGATGTATTTTTTTCTTTCTGTTTACTTTCTCTACGATGTGTTTGTTGTTCCTTCATATTTAAAACTGTGGCTCACGTGTTGCTGCCCGACTAGCTCAGGTCATGATCTGGCTGGGTTCAGAGTTCTAGTTCGGGAGTCGGCTCTGTGCTGACAGCTCGGAGCCTGGAGCCTGCTTCGGATTCTGTGTCTCGCTCTCTCTCTTTCTGCCCCTCCCTTACTCACACTCTGTCTCTCTCTCTCTCTCTCTCTCGAAAATAAATAAAACATTTAAAAAAAATTTTTAAAGGTTCCTCCATGGCTTGATGGCTCGTTTCTTTGCAGCGCTGAATAATATTCCATTTGTGGATGGACCATTTTATTTATCCACTCGCCTTCTCAAAAGGACTTCTTGGTTGCTTCCAAGTTTTAGCAGTTACAAATAAGGCTGCTATCAACATCCTTGTGCAGGTTTTTGTGCGGACATAGCTTCAACTTCTTTTTTTTTTTAAGTTTATTTATTTTGAGGGAGAGAGAGAGAGAGAGAGAGCACGTGCGTGTGCACGTGCAAGAACAGGGGAGGGGCAGAGGGAAAGAGAGAATCCTAAGAAGGTTCCACACTATCAGCACAGAGCCCACCCGCGGGGCTCCACCCCACAAACCGTGAGATCACGGCCTGAGCCGGAATCAAGAGCCAGACATTCGAGCGACTGAGCCACCCAGGCGCCCCCATAAGTTTCACCTCCTTTGGGTGAATACGAACGAATGTGACTGCTGGATCGTATGGGACGAACATGTCCGGTTCTGTAAGAAACCACCAAACTGTCTTCCAAAGTGGCTGTGCCATTTTGCATTCCCACCAGCCACGGGTTTCTGCCTCACGTTCTTCTGTGAGCTTTTTTGCGTATGGCTTTCCCTCGCTTTTTAAAAAACTATTGTATGTGTTTTTAAATGTAAAGGGTCAGCATATAAGAGACAATCCCTCGTCATACAGGCCACCGTGTGCTGGCGGTAAGGAGACGCACTCCAGGCCAGGATGACCTCAGCGAACAAATCCGCTGACTTAATCAATTGAAAATTCTCTTCAACTTTCTCGCCAGGCCTGCCAGTGTTTGTGAAAGGCAAATACTGAGCTGTGGACATACCAGTGTTTGAGGAGTGAGTTTGCGTGATGGGCGAGAATACAAAGTTTCCTTGGAATATTCAATCCTCGATTTCTTTGTGTGCATTATCCCCACCATCCATCCATTCAACAAATATTTGCTGAGCACCTAGCATGTCCCGGCCACCGAGCTGGGTTCTGAGGCCGCGGTGGTGAGCACAACACGGTCCTCGCCTTCAGGGAGCTTACGGTCCCCATGGGGGGCCGACCACAAGCCAGAACCCCAACAACATCACACGCCTGCCACTGTGAGAGCGGCCCTCACTGTACGTCCACGCAGGAAGGCGGGGAACAGTTCAGCTGGAAGAGGGAACTGAATCGCACGTGCAGAACCGTGCGGAGGCGTGAGCCTGGGTTCCGGTCTGTCTCTGTGCCCTGCGGGATTCATGGCATCCCGACGCCGGGAGCCAGAGGATCCAAGAAGGGATCCTCCACCAGCTCGAGGCCTCCCACCCCACCAGGAGGGGCGGCCGTGGCCCAGGTGTGGGCTCCTGCCTGCTTCCTCCCACCGGGCCTGAAAGGGGCTCGGTCCCGAAGGGAAAGAGGTGACCCTGAATAACTGTCACTGTCACTTCCCACAAGAAGCCTGACTCCCTGAGCAGAGCTGGCACCTCCACCCCCACATGATGTCCCCCGATGTGGCTTCTCCCCCGTGGCTCTTATCAGATTTACAATTCCTTGTGTGATTATTCCACCAACGCCCACCCCCATCCCTGCTGGACTAAAAGGCAGACCTGGCGATTCACTGGAGCAGGCCACCATTGTAACCCTGGGCCTGGCTCAGTCATAGAGGAGCTCAGCACACATGAGGGGCTTAGCACACATGAGGGGCTTAGCACACATGAGGGGTTCAGCACACATGGGGGCTCAGCACACATGAGGGGTTCAGCACACATGAGGGGCTCAGCATACGTGAGGGGCTAAGCACACATGAGGGGCTCAGCATACGTGAGGGGCTAAGCACACGTGAGGGGCTCAGCACACATGAGGGACTCACCACACATGAGGGGCTCAGCACACATCAGGGGTTCAGCACACGTGAGGGGCTCAGCATACGTGAGGGACTAAGCACACATGAGGGGCTCAGCACACATCAGGTGTTCAGCACACATGAGGGGCTCAGCACACATGAGGGGCTCAGCACACATATACTAAGTGACTGAGTGAGTGAGTGTGCCATGCTCTGGGACAGAAAAGAGCTAACTTGCCCCTGTCCTGAAGGAAAAGCAGAATGCTAAATAAAGCCATAATGAGGAAACTCAGGTTGTGAGCGGCAGGAGGACGGCTGGTAATGTCCCCCTCCCCCTGGGGACCTGCAGTTTAAGCCGATTTGAGGTCTGAAGCATGGGATTAGCCCGGAAAGATAGGTGGGGGGCCGGGAGAGCAGGTTTTCCAGGAAGAAGGCAGAGCCCAGGCCGGGAGGGGGAGGGGATCTGCTGCACTCTGAGCGCCAGGAGGGGAGCAGGGGAGGGTAAGGGGAAAGGGCAGCAGGCGCCCCACCTGCTACACGTTCATCCAACAAACATTCACTAAGCACCTACTATGTGCTGGGCCTTACAGGTCATATTAAGACCGGCTCTTGGGGTACAGCTCCATCGGGTAAGCTGCCGACTCTTGATTTCGGCTCAGGTCACGATTCCACAGTTCGTGAGTTGGAGTCCCGTGTCGGGCTCTGTGCTGGCAGCACAGAGCCTGCTTGGGATTCTCTCTCTGCCCCTCCCCTGTTCTTTCTCTCTCTCTCTCTAAACAAATAAATAGACTTTAAAAAAAAAAAGACTTATTTAAAAAAAAGGACCAGCTCTTGATCCCAGAAGCAGGGGGGAAGCAACAGAGAGCTTCAGCAGGGGGTCAGGCCACCACTGGGAAGTGACCGCCCCACTGCCGTGGGCAGCGTGGGCAGGAGGAGAAGGGGGTCCAGCCATGCGGCTGTGCAGGAATGGTCGCTGATTCGAAGCAGGGGCTGAGGGAGTGTCACCTATCCCGGGTGGCCCTGGGTGTCAGGCCGGAGCAGCTGGGGGGCTGGAAACACCATTCACACAAACCCAGGGGAGGGGGCGCAGGGCAAATGTGTGAACAGAGATGAAGCATCCCCCTCTGGGAGGCGGTGCTCAGGGGCACCGAGGGCTCGGGCCTCACCGAGTCAGGCGCGCTCGGGTAGCAGTCCCGACATCAGCGGACACCACGATCCCCTTCGAGGCAAACGCTAGCTGGTGACAGTCAGCTCCTAGTTTATGAGAACCGGAGCTCTGAAGGACCCCAGAATAAAACCACTGAACCTAGTTTATCAGGAAACCAATTTCAGTGAAAATGGGACAGGTGTTTAACGCGGTTCGGCCTTGGGTGTTTCTTCAACAGCTGGCAGTGGTTAGATTAGTTTCCCTTTCAAATGGATTTTTCCTGCCAATCCACATTTGTCTTCTCCCTTCCGCGGAGACCACGGGAAACAGGCAGCCGGGTGGACAAGCACGTGTGAGCACACGAGCGTGCCTGTGTGCACACCAACACTGCGTGTGCTTTCACTCACGGCCCAAAGCAGACCCCACATGAGGCCTAATCGAAGGGGCTCCGCCTAATTACCCGAAGATGCCTCTGCAAGGAGAGGGTAGTGTGAAAGGGGGGGAGACCTGGCAGGATCCTTAAGTACCCTCACTTTTTATGCACTAAAAAGAGGCATCGAGTGTATTTCCAGGCTTTGAGGGAGTCATTCCGCAGGAGCAGAGCACGTTAGTGTTTCTGGAGGAGAATATGAATCACCCTCTGCTACGGAACAATGCACACGGGACCCTCGAGCGGTACCTGACGCGGGAGCACAACACAGGTCACTTTTCAACCTGTACAGTTTAACCAGAAGATCTAATCCTTCTGACAAAACTGCCTGGTTTAAATGTCCTCACCTGTAAACACATGATAATAAAGTAAACACCACTGTCATTGACTCGCAAAGCACACGTATGGCTGCTTCCGCCTTTGTGCCACGACTCCGGGAGGCCAGTTCCAGAGGGGCACCAGCAAGCAGGGTTAGAGGACAGGGCTGGGCATCCCTCAGCCCCCAAAGGGGGTGGGGGGGTTGATGGGCTGGAGGACAGGGCTGGGCGTCCCTCGGCCCCCGGGGGCCCACCGAGTCCTCTTCGAGGCACAGGTCCTAGGGCCCAGAGCTGGGGGCCTGGAGTGTTTAAAGGCAAGGCTGGATTTCATCTAACTTTAAAACTCTCAAAGGCAGACACTGGCTTTAATGCACAGTCCCTGAGCTGCCAAAAGCCAGGACGCCGGAGAGGGGAGAGGGCAGCGCCTTTGGGACCATCACCGTGAGGCCAGGGCTGCAGAGAAGCGGGACTGAAAGGGCTGAACCCGGGAGGTACGGCCGTCCGAGGGCCAGCTGCGCTCCACCGGCGCCGGGGAGAGGCTCGAGGCTGGGGGCGCCGGGGTCCCTACGGGCAGCTTAGGGGCAGAACCACGCAGGGCCTCACCGGCCCACCTCCGAGATCCGGGGCTTCGCCAGCCCCCAGGCCGGGCGCACCCTAGCGCTGCCGGGCATTCACACGCCAGGGCAGGAGCCCATCTCCGGGGCGAGGATGAAAGAGACCGCCCTCTTGTGAACAACCACTTCCCGCCATCCGCCCAGACACGTGGCCGGGCTTCCGGGGGGGTGCCCCTCACAAACATGGCCGCCGCCACGCTTAAACGGGGCCGCCACGAGGGTGCCCCTCACAAATATGGCCTCCGCCCCGCCCATTACGCCCAGCGCCGACTTTGTTGGGTCACATGCCGGAGGATGCCGGGCTGTGATTGGCCAAACTTCTGGTGCCGTCAGACGCCGGGCGCGGGCCGAGGGCCGCCGGGTCGCTGCTCCTCCGAGAAGCGTTAGGCCGGGACGCGGGGGTTCGGGCAGTGCTGGGGGCGGCAGCGCGCCGCTCACACTCATGAGGAGCCGGAAGGTGAGGCGCCGAGACCGAGCGGGAGCCGTGCCGATGAGGCTGGGGCTCCCGCCACCCATTGTCTGGGGAGTTGAGGAGGCCGCGGTATGCCCTGGGCCGGGGGCTGCCTCTGCTCGAGACTCCCTGCCCTCGCACTCGGGTCTGAGGTCTGAGACCACGTCCGGGAGGGTTTCCACATCACGACCCTGGGTGGGGGGCGGGTTTGGGGTCACGCTTTTGGGTAGTGGGGGGGG